CCCCCCCCGCCCTTTGCCTCCAGCCGACGCTCCACTGTGCTTCTCTAAGCCAAAGTGGGACTTAGTTCAAGCAGATATCTGAGAGACGGAAAACTGTGAACAGCTTTTGCATGAAGACGATGCAAGGCCTGAAGCTGCCCGGGTGAAGTCACTGACGCGCCCTGCCTCCCTGCCCAGGGCAGGAACACTTGCCCATTCATTCAGGTACCCATCGAGCTGTTCATTCAAAAATGACTTACTGAGTGCCACTGGGTTTATGATGTTCACCTAGCGTCCCAGGACCCAAGGAGTAAAATGGTGACCAAAATAAACATGGAGTCTACCTCACAAAATTGACAGTCCAAAGAGCTCCGGAGAAAAGCATATTGACAACTAATTACATAATACACAAACTACTGCATATGGTGAAAAGCACCTTTAAAGAAAAGGTAACAAGCTAGCAGTGGGAGGTTTCAATAGTAGCTCTAGATTTAGACTGGACACTCAAGGGAAGGCTTCCCAGGCTGATAGAAGGACAAAGGGAAGAGCAGAGGGAAGGGCATCTAGTCAGGTGGAACAGCACTGCCAAGACCCGAGGGTGGAGGAGTCCAAGGTGATTGAAGAAAGGGGGTCAGGAGATCGCAAGATGAGCCTGGAGAGGTGGGCAGGGGCCAGCCACACCCAGCCCGAGAAACCGGTAAAGCATGAAGCCCTGGAAGCAAGGAGGAGTTTTGGGAAGAGTGTCCAAATGCTGCTGAGATGCCATCTAAGTGAAGGACTGAGACCTGCCCACTAGCTGAGCAGAGGCTATGGGACACTTTAGCAGGAGTGTGGCCAGGAAGTCAGGCTGGAGCAGACTAAAGTGGGTGGAGGAGAGGAACTGAAGGCATACATAGAAAATCCCAGAAACAAACAGTTGATGAGTTTTAAACTGCAAGCTGGTTTGGGTCACAATCTCATGCCATCTTGCTCTTCCCACTTGGGACTCCCATCATCCCTTTATTCGACACATCCAGGCTCTAGATCCCACCTACCCGTTGGTCAGTACCCTCTCTGTGATCAGCTGATCTGTCACAGTATTTCAGTGCTTAGGTTCAGATAATGTGTAAAGTTCAGTATTGTCCTGTCTCAGGCATCCGTGGTAGTCTTGGAATACAGACCTCAAAGATATGGGGCATTGAGGCTGCGGTGAGGCTCAGTGGTAGAGCCCTCCCTAGCATGTGGCGCCCTGGTTTCCTCCCAGCACCACATAAAAATAAATAAATAAAATAAAGGTATTGTGTCCCCCTACAAATATATATATATATATGTGTGTATGTGTGTGTGTGTGTGTGTGTGTGTGTATAAAGATATGGGGCACTACCTGGTATAAGAATGGTGGTATTTTTTTTTGTTTTTGCTTTTTAAAATTTTGCTCCCTGAGTTTTCCAATGCTTTAGAATTTACCAGTTTATAGAATCGCCTACAGATCTGAATAACCTGAAATTTGAGCAGCACTTTCTGTTCTGATCATTTTACCACCAATTTCAAATTAATTTCACTATCCTTCCTTCCTTCTGTGCCTTTTGTGTTGCATAAGCAAGTATAAACTCTTTGACCTCATCATTTGAAAAGACCCTGATTGTCTATGTGTCCTTTCTGGTGTGCTTTGTTCTGTTTTGATTTATAACTAACTACCTGTCACAGCTCAGTCTGCCTTCGATTCCATTTTTATAGAACAAATTATATGGAGTTGGGATCTCTCAAGCAAGCCCACTTGCAAAAATATCCAAATATTTTGCCTCGTGTGTTTCTTGCCGCCCCCACTCCCACTGGGGTAGCATTTTGGCATTAACTAGACTGTCTGGTAGATCTTTCCTTTCCTTCTCTTCCCACTCCTGCTATTTGCCTGCTATTCACCTGGTCCCTGCTGCATTCATCTCTTGGCCTTGGGTCACTTGGGTTTCTGCCCTGGGTTCAATGCTTGGGTTCTCCCTTTCCTTTCCATAGTTATTCCAGATCCCTGCCACTTTGCCCCATGTACCCACATTTTTTTTCCCTTGAGATTCTGAAGCAGAGGA